GGGACAGTGCAGGAGGGGAAGGCCCTCTATGAAGTGGATTGATTCAGTGACTGGGATAATCGGGATAGGTATGTCAGAGACAGTGAGATTGGCACAGGAGAGAGCAGAGTTTGGGGCTGTTATACATAGGGTCGCTATGAGTCGCAAGCGACTCGATGGTACATAACAACAACAACAACCTGAACGCTGCCCTGCTCATGCTCACCTGTTGTGTCAAGAAATCAGAATGACAGCTACCTGGCAAACTGTCTGGAAAGAGACTGTTTATTCCATTCCAAGAAAAAGTTGACCTGACAGAGTGTGGAACTTATCAAACAATATCACTAATATCACATACAAACAAGATCCTGCTGAATATTATCCAAAAATAAATGAAACAGTACATCAGCAGAGAACTGCCAGATGGTCAAGTTGGGTTTAGAAGAGGCCACAGTACTAGGGACATCATAGCCAACATTAGATGGATCTTCGCTAAAAGCAGAGAGTACCAGAGGAATGTCTACCTGTGTTACATTGACTATGCATAGGCATTTGACTGTGTAGATCACAACAAACTGTGGCTGACTCTGAGAAGAATGGGAATCCCATTTGTGCTCATGCGAAACCTATACTTGGACCAGGAAGCCGTTATCAGAACAGAGCAGGGAAACACTCATGGTTTAGGGTCAGAAAAGGTGTGCATCAGGGACAAGTTCTATCTCCATTCCTTTTTAATCTATATGCAGAACAGATCTTCAGGAGGCTGGACTTTACGAAGAGGAATGTGACATGAGGATTGGAGGAAGACTCATCAACAATCTACGTTACGCAGATGACACAACCTTGCTTCCTGAAACTGAGGAGGACATGAGGTGTTTGCTGCAGAAAGTCAAGGACTGTAGTCTTCAGTATGGCTTGATGCTCAACATCAAGAAAATAAAAATTCTCACCAGTGGGCCAATTGGCAGCTTCATGGTAAATGAAAAGAGATTGATATTGTTAACAACTTCAGCTTGTTTGGTTCCACAATGAATATTCTTGGCACCAGCAGTCAGGAAATCAAAAGATGAATTGCATTGGAAAAGTCTGCTGTCAGGGACCTCTCTAAGGTACTGAAGAGCAACGATCTCAGTCTTGAGACCAAGGTGCTCCTGATACAGATGGTCTTCACACCTATATTTGCTATGCATCAGAGATCTGAACAATAAGGATGACAGAAGAAGGATCTGTGCCTTTGAGTTGTGGAGCTAGAGAAGAATATCAAACATATCATGGACTGCCAGGAGAACAAACAAGTCTGTCCTGGAGAGGGTGAAACCAAGCTGCTCCCTGGAAGCAAAGATTTTGAAGCTCTGGCTCACATACTTTGAAACCAGTTCTTGGAGAAGGACATCATGCTTGGGAGGCTCGAGGGACAGCACAAAAGAAGACAACCCCGGATGAGATGGATTGACACAATAATTGAGGTGATGGAGGTAGATGTGTTGGAGACTGTGAGTTGGCTCAGTATAGGGCAGGGTTTAGAGCTGTTGTGCATAAGGTCATTATGAGTTGCAAGCAACTCGATGGCACATAACAACAACATTATATTCCAATACTACATTATTTATTTTGTTATTTATGTTGTTCCCACTTTGTCCACTAGGAACTGTTCAAGGTGGGCTCCTATCCTCTTTGGCATGCCCCAATCCTTCTGATTTTGAACCATTTCTAGAGTTCACATTCTGGCTACATAAGGTATTTCAGATGCCTTCAGACTCCACAATACCCCAGTTGTTTTTGTTATGCACCCTCGAATCAGAAGTGTGATATCAAAAGCTTTTGCTTAAAATGTCTTTTCCTAACCATTGATTAACTGTTTCTTTTGTAATAAAGTATTCATTGTGCTAAGGAGACAGGATTAGGGTGGTATACAAGACCTATCCTACTATATAAAATCATGGAAGCTCAATACCAGCTCTTCCTTTTGGGACCCTCCCTTTCCTGAGACACAGTGTCCAGCTCATCAGTCTCTTCAACACCAATCTCTATCACCCACAGATGCATGAATCACTTCCCTGATGGGTACGAGTCTCTATGAGACCTAACAGTGAACAACCGAACCCAGGGAACACTGAGGAATAGGGAAACTGAATGTAATAGTAACAGTTGATGTCAGAACCTTACAGCAGATCAGACATTTGGCACACTGTAGACTTCCCCCTTCTTGTTATTGGCCTGCTACTAATCTTCAGAATGAATTACAAATGCAGGAAGGAACTCAGAGCTGACCCTCCAGCGGGATTTCAGAGGCAGGGAATCAAGTAGGAGACAGTCCATTTTTTTCTATATAATTTTGGTTTGGCATAGCAGCTCATTGCCATGGGGCACCATGTGCGTGTGATATTGTATTTTGTTGCTAATACCTAAACATCACATGCAACTATAAAACAATTAAACTCATTTCTTGCCTTCATACACACCAAGTCTTATACTTGGCAAATAAATCAACCTGGCCTCTAGTGTGCTTCTCACCAGCCTTGAGGAAACCTCCCCCGACACCATAATCAGTTCACATGTGGGAGGAAGGCAGCTGCACACGTCCACATCCGCAGCAGAATCAAGGGGAGCTCTGTTTTCATAGGTGTCTTCTCAGCCTGGACCCCCTACGCATGAGGCCTAGATATAAGACGCATTTACTCAACCATGACACAAGGAAGAGATTTGCAGATAAGAAAAAGCCAATAACCTTTACAGGATTCGTTCATAACGTCACTCATCCTGAGTTGTAGGGTTTGGAAGAAGTATTTGTTGAGATTAGGAGACAAAGGATATCGCTCAGAAGACTCTGGGGTTTCGGGATAAGGAAAAGGAGTTGGTTCATTAAAAAAGCCACATAAACAAGCAGAAGAGGAAAGCATAACTCACAGATAGAGAGGGAGCTTGCTGTGTATCTTTGAGTTGGAACCGACCCATCGACACATCACTGACCCTCGAGCAGGTTTTCAGAGGCCGTAAATTGAACAGGAGGAGATTGCCCATCCATATCTCCTGGAGCAGCTAGTGGATTCAAACTTGTGTGCCTTTGGTATTGCAGCACAATTTCTTACCACTAGGACATCAATGGAGTACATTAATGACTAAAACTGATTTCTTAGCAATCACCCTCCTGCCAAAAGGTTTCCATAGTTTCCTAACATTAAGTCCAGAGGAGGTTCTTGAGAGTCTATTTCATGAACACCAGGGGGAGCCAGCTGTCCACGATCAGAGCTACTCGCCACCTCCCTGAGAAGTTGACACAGAGCTGGGATGAGAAGAGGGTGTCTTTGATTTGTCAAAACATGTAACAGCTGAGGTCTAAAATCCTCAGACTGGAGTTTCTATTCTTGGTTGCATTTTACCAACAAAGAATGTTCAGCACCCATGAGTTCTAAATCTTCCTTTTTGACATAATGCAACCCTCATTTCATGATCTAATGTGTGAATGTACCATTCCTGTCGCGTCTCATCAAAATTGCCGTTCTCAGGGAGCCAAACGTTGGAGGAGGGAGCTCTGGTGGCCTAGTGGATAAGGAGTTGGGCGGCCAAATTAAAGACAGTTCAAATCCACCAGCTCCTCCATAGGAGAAAGATAGGGAATCTCCTCCTGTGCAATTTATAGCCTCTGAAAACCTGCTGGAGGGTCAGCTATGAGTTGATTCCAATTTAATGACACATAAAAACACCAATTATGGGTCCGTGGTCCCGGCGGCAGCGTCTCCGTGAGGAGGCGCGCGGGGGAGCCATGACGTCAGCGTCCACCGAGGTCGGAGAGATCTTCTCGGCGGCCGGCGGCGCCTCCACGAAGCTCGGGGAGCTGACGATGCAGCTGCATCCCGTGGCCAACTCTTCGCCGGCGAGTGTGAAGTGGACGGAGACGGAAATAGAGATGCTGAGGGCTGCTGTGAAGCGATTTGGGGACGATCTTAATCACATCAGCTGTGTCATCAAGGAACAGACGGTGGCTCAGATAAAGGCCACTGTGAAACGAAAAGTGTATGAAGACTCTTCCAGCCGAATCACCTAAGAAAGGGCCCAAGAAAGTGGCATCTGGTGTTCTGTCGCCTCCTCCAGCAGCTCCATTGTCCCTGAGGCCGGAGGTCCCCCTGTAAAGAAGCAGAAAGCTGATGTGACACTCAGTGCTCTGAACGACTCTGATGCCAACAGTGACCTAGTGGATATTGAAGGGCTGGGAGAAACTCCTCCAGCCAAGAAACTCAACTTCGACCAGGCCTGACCTTGGATTCTGGACTTCTCATGACCTCCGCTGACCCTCCTCTACTCTCCCATTGAGACTTGCACCTCTAACCCCTCTTACTGTTCATCCTGGACCTGTATAGTTTACCTGGGACTCTACTGAGGCCTACACAAGATCAAAGGACTGCTGGGGCTGGGAAGGTCCACCGTGCTGCCCCCCTGTGTAGGCATCTGCCTCTACCCCCTTTGACCTCCACCTAATGGACATTTTTTATACTGAAAATAAAGACTTTTCTCTCAAAAAAAAAAAACACACCAACTATGTTGAAGACACTGCTCTCCTGTCCTAAATTATCAGCAGTTCAACCGTTCTTTGCTTGTGTGATTCAGGGAGTGGGGGTGTGGTGTACATATTTGTGCTCATGCACGTATGTCAGGAGTTGGAGGATTTAGTGATTCTGGGCTAAGCATCAAGGTTTGTGTCAGTAGATTGCATGTGTAAGAAACAAAGAAAAAAAAGCCTTCAACCTGGGCCATCTTGCTGTGTTCCACCTCTAACATACTGACCTAAGTTTGGGAAGGTAACTGTCCAAAACAAGATATTTTATTTTCTTTCCAGAATGAGACTACTCCAGGGAGAATGGAGACCAGTGGGTAAGGGGCAGTAGAGAATCTTCCTGCCCACACTGGATTACCCACTGGAGACCAGGCTTCTTTCCCATTGCTTGTACTGGTGGTGCCTCAGGCCGCCATGGGTAGGCAGGTGCCAGAAGTCCAGAAGGGAAGGTTCCCTGCAGCCCATTTTCTCAGGTCTCCAGGGTTTCTGCAGTACACTTCCGACCTGGGCCAGCGAGGGCGCTCCTGACAGCCTAACAGACAAAAGGCGCTGCAACCGGGTGTGCCTGAGCCTCCGGGATGGAGCGCGGAGCAGGAGGCACAGCAGTGCTGCAGGGATCACCTGTGAGGGAGAAGCAGGGGGAAACGAAGGGTGAGAGAGCAAAGCCATCTGAGGAAAGTTTCAGGAGAAACAGGAGCTTTGAGTATGGGAGTCACAAGCTAATAAAGAGGACACAATAATAAGATGAAGTGCACTGAGATAACACAGACACACAAAGTAGTAGTAATGAGGTGGATCAAGAACACAGAGAAGTCTTCATTCTGACCCAGAAAACGCCTATTCATCCTTCAAGATCCAGCCAAGAGTTCCTCTCTCTCTTTTGTCTGATGCCAACCCCAGATAGAACTGAAGACCCTCCTTTGTGCCCCTATTGACTGTGCAAAGGCGTTTGACTGTGTGGATCACAAAAAATTGTGGCTAACAATGAGAATACCAGAACACTGATTGTGTTTTGCTTATGCAGAACCTATATTTGGACTAAGAGGCAGTCATCAGAACAGAGCAGAGAAACACTGCATAGTTAAAAATCAGGAAAGGTGTATGCCAGGGATGCATCCTATTTCCATACCTTTTCAATCTATATGCAGAATAGCTTATCCAGGAAGCTGTACTTTATGAGGAGGAATGTGGCATCAGGTTTGGAGGAAGATTCATCAACAATCTGCATTATACAGCTGACTCAACCCTGCTTGCTGAAAATGAGGAGGACCTGAGGCATGTACTGCAGAAGATCAAAGACTGCAGCCTTCGATATGGATTGAAGCTCAACATCAAGAAAACAAAGACTCTCATCACTGGGCCAATTGGCAGCATGATTATAGAGTATAGAAAAGAGATTGAGATTGTTAACAGCTTTAGCTTGCTTGACTCAACAATTAACATTCTTGAAACCAGCAGCCAGGAAATTAAAAGATTAATTGCTTTGGGAGAATCTGCTATTAGGGATCTCTCCAGAGTACTGAAGAGCAAAGATCATTCTAGAGACAAAAGTGTACCTGATCCAGCCCATAGTCTTTGCAATTACTTGTTAAACATCAGAGAGCTGGACAATGATAAAAAAATGAGTGAGAATTAATGTCTTTGAGTTGTGGTGCTGGAGAAGAGTACTGAACAACCATGGACTGCTATGAGAACAAACAGGTCTGTCCTTGAGAGGGTGAAACCAAGCTGCTCTTTGGAGGCAAGGATTTTGAAACTTTGTATAACATACTTTGGGCATGTTGTCAGGAAGGACCAGTCCTTGGAGAAGAACATCATGCTTGGAAGGATGGAGGAACAGTGAAAGAGAGGAAGACCCTGGAGGAGATGGATTAACTCAGTAATTGGGGTAATTGGGTGGAGGGGGGTGTCACAGACAATGAATTTGGCTCAAGATAGAGCAGGGTTCAGAGCTGTTATACATAGGGTTGCTACGAGTCCCAAGTGATTTGACAGTACATACCAACAATAACAAGCTCCTCATTCACATGTCTTTGACTGTCCTTGTCAAACCATGGCTTCTTCCCTCACCTACAATGAGAGTTCCCTGGGACAAGACAAACTCTGTGAACTCACTGCCAAGCAAATTTCCTGGCATACTGAAGGTACCCAATAAGCATTTGTTGATATGAGGAGTGCGGGTCAGTGAGTTATTTAATATGGCCTTTTTACTCACACACAAGGAGCTCTGGTGGTGCTGTGGTTAAGCTCTTGGATGTTAATTGAAAAGTTGATAGTGTAAACCTACCAGCCACTCCATACGAGAAAGATAAGGCAGTCTGTTTCCATCAAAGTTTATAGCCTTGAAAACCCAGTGAGGAAGCTCTACTGTGTCCTCTAGGGTTGCTGTGAGTCATTGGGTTTGTCTGGATTTTGTTTGTTTGTTTGTTTGTTTGTTTGTTCATGTGTGAGTTTTTTGACCCTCACAAAGTGATTGGATACGATCATGCACATAGGCCCACCTAAGGGATTGGACAACTTGCTAGCAATGCAAATAAGGAGCATGGAAACTCTCAGAAGACCAGGCAAAAATATACCACCACAGACCTCTAACAAGAAGTTTTTGTTATTTTTGAAATCCTGTTAGACTTTAAAAGATGGCCAATTCTGGAACAGCAAGGAGAGGACCCCACTACCACCAAAAAGAGGGGAGAGGGCTTTCTGCCCCAAAGAGCAAGGATGTTCGAGTGGGTAGGCCTACTACACACCGAGCCAGAGAGCTGAGTGCCTTCACACAGTAAGCTTAATGGTGGCACGCGACACCTTCGATCACTTGCCAGCAGAGATAAAGAGCCCTGTAACACTTGACTGAGCAGACCAGAGGCAGGGTCAAAGGGTCCAAAGGCAGAGGGAGAGGTCTTCCCACAGCCACAGCCAAAAAAGCTGTCCTGACTGAAGAACTGAGTCCTTGGTCATCCCTGCTCCTGAATCGGATCTATTCCTTCCCTAATGAACCACACAACTCTAAGTAGACTTTGTGAACTCTGTGGATGTTCAGTGAGTTATTGAGGGTTGGGAGGGAGAGTTCTGAGGGGAGGGGTAGTTCTTGAGGTTAGACAAGATGGAGTGGTAACAGCAGTTTAGAAAAGTGGGACATCCTTAACCTTCACTCCATGCTATTGTTGTTGTTAGATGCTGTCAAGTAGGAAATGACTCATAGGTGACCCTCCAGAGTGTTTTCAGAGGCTGTAAAGCACAGAGAAGACTGTTCTTCTTTCTCCCATGGAGCAGCAGGTGGATTCAAACCATCTACCTTTGGGTTGGCAGCACAACTCCTTACCACTAAATCAGCAGTTCTTTCTAGGAAACAGCTTTGTGCTGATCCCCAGGGTAGAAAAAAAAATAATTCATTTAGGCAGAGTCATGAATTAAATGTTGTTGTTG